TGTGTGTGTGTGTGTGTGTGTGCATGTTTGGATTAGTGTCTCCAGCGTCTTGCTCAGGGGAAGGTAATATGCTTGTCCGAACGAGCTTCTTCTGTCACATTCGCATAGATGGTTTAAAAACTGTGGAGTGAGCGGGAGTTGGGGGGAGGAAGAGAGTGAGGGGAAAAACGAGTAGAGAGACAGACTGACGGACACAGAGAGAGAGAGAGAGAGAGGGAGAGAGAGAGAGAGGGTAGAGGGGAGGGAGGGAGGAAAGACACAGTAGGAGAGAGGATGGAATGAATAAGCAATCTTGGCTTTTTCTACTCCTGGCACTTGCATCTCGCACTGATCACATGCATGCTTCCTCTCCCTCGCGTACCTTTATGTTGTTCTGATCCGTCCTTCGTTGTTGTTTACATATACCCTCCTTTGTCTCAGTGTCCCTCCTCCTCCTCCTCCTCCCACCCTCCACCTCCTCCTATACCTCCCGGCGTCCTTGCCTCTAGGTCCTCCCCGGCGCAACTCCTTCGTCCTTTTTTTCACCCTCCTATCCGATCCCCCCCTTTCTGCCGCCTTATGATGTCCCCGCTCCTCTCCCTGCCTTTTCCCAAATGTCCTCTTATATTAGTCGATGACCCACTGAACCCTCTTTCCCTTTCTAATCACTCCTGTTCCCATGCATGCCTGGAAACACATGCAAACACGCATGCATGCACGTGCACTTACATACAGGCGCACAGATACAGTTAGAGAGAAAACATAAAACAAGAAGGACTTTCTTTTTTTTTCTTTTTTCTTTCCTACTCTTTGCAATGGGCAACTCTGTAAAGTCGCTTAAAATTTTCACCAAGAAGGTAAGGTCCGCTCTGAGGTTTTTCACTCTGCTTTGAATCCCCTGACTCTTGGTGCATGTTTGTCTAATGATGTGTCCCCAACTTGATCGATGGATATTGACTTGATCTCTCCCGACTCCGACTTCTCACTAACAGGCTGCGTCTCTGTGCTGCTCAGTGGAGAATATGTTTCAAGGTGTTGCGTCGGTCAGTGTTGCCCCATACAGAGGGGCTTAAAGTCCAGATTACTGATGTAGGACTCTCTTTAAAACTCATTCTGCATGCACGTAGGATGTCTTTTCGCTTGTTAGTTGCATTCAGAGCTGCTTGTGTCTGACCCATTGACTGTGAATCAGGATCAGGTCACCACAGCTTAGAGCCGCTCACATGAATTCTACCTCACCACAAAGCGGAGGATGCTACCCTGTTGAACCTGCACCTGCGGGACACGATCAGTCGGTGGAAATGTTGCAAACAGGTGTGCTGTTGCGACTACATCAGATTCTCTCAGCACTGGACTTTTTTTTTTTTTTTCCTCTCTTTTTTTGGGGGCTATATTTGTCTACTTTAGTGCTACATCTCTTACATCTGCTGTCCTCTTCGTATCACTGTATGCTTGAATAGACTCTCAGTGTAGCAGGGAGGCAGTCCCACAAATAGAATTTCCAGCTGCACATCCTTGAGGAAGCACAATATGACAAGCAACTGTTGATGCCATCTGTGCAAAACGGGTTGGAGTGCTGCAGAAGTTCTTGCTTCACTTCAGCCTTTCTCTGACACCGTTTCAGATTTTTTTTTTCTTTTCTTGTGTGTGTGCGCGCGCTTTTTTTTTTTTTCTTTCTTCTTGTTATATAACTGCTAGCGCGTGGCTTCATACTACTTTTCTGGCACGATATAGCCACGGACAGCCCTGCTCCATGCATCACTTGGTCAGATTACCCAGTGGGCATCCGTTCCTGTGGTGAGAACTGTAGGGATGCACGAACTGGCATTAGAGACGACACGGTAACAGATGGAGTGTGAAGGTCATTTATAATAATAATATTATGTTTATTTGCATAGAGCACAAGTGTGCATATGAATCTTTCATGGCGTATGCATGCAAATGTCTCATGTTTACTGTATAAAGCATCTGAAGATGGTACTAGGTCATGTCAGAGACACGTTCCAGCAGCAGCAACATGGTCCCTGGGTAATCTGCTGTCTTATTGATTCTATTCCGCTTGCTTTTAGCCAAACTGTAGCAACTGAAGACCAAACCAGAGATGTTACGGCTTTAAAATCAGTTGATCTCAGCTTGAGAAAAATAGTAATAGAGATCTGTTTTCTAACAGTCGCTCGAGAGTTGCCTTACGCTGCTGCTCTCTAATTCGATGATTGGAGCCTTTTTGACTTTAATCAGAGGAAGCAGAGGCAGCGATTGCCCGTCTTTAATTAACCTGTAGGCCTCTCAGTAATTGGGATGACTGATGTAAATAATAAAAAAAAAAACATTTGCCCCCTGGTTGATGGGCTAATTGGTGATTATAATTAAATGGTTGGCTGAACTTAAGCATCTTTTGGACGACAAAATTGTTGTGTAGGAAAAAACAAAACTGAAACTTGTGGAGGAACAAGCAACTACCCCGGTGTGAGGTTTGTGGTCGATCAACACTTTAAATTCCCTCAAACCACCACACACTGAACTAACTAACTAATTAACTAACTACCTGACTAACAGATGCTAACAGATTTGCACTGTGTCATCAAACTGGCTTTAAAAGATTATCTAATTTTTCCAACTTGTATTTTCTGTTGGTATTTCTGGTCGTCATTGCGACCCGTTATGATGATATTGTGCTCACTGTATTCTGAGATTTGGGAACTTGAGCACTCAAACAAGCCGACATTTCAGTAAAATGATGCAACCCGCTGAAGGAATGCATGACAGCAGATCTCATCTGAATCAGGGGGTGAGTCTGTAAATTGTGATTTAAGTGCACAACAAGCAGTTTGGGGAGTCTGACTTGACTGATTGTGTTGGTGATAATGCCGCTTCCCCACATCTCATCGATTAGTTTCGGTGAGCACAATGTTATCGTAACCATTAGAGATGCTGGCCAAAACCACAAAAGCAAATCTATTTTTGTAAGAAATCAGAATAATCCCGTAATCCCACAGAGCATGAGGCTTTCATTGCTTTGTGGCATTAATAGAAGGTTGTATATTTGCTATGCGGTTACTTCCGCCGCTGGTATTCTCTGTTACACATCATGTGGACACTGTTGTGCAGGATGGTGACGTACCGGATGGATTCATAGATGGCATCAGTTGCTGTGTCATGATATCACACCTCCTTTTCTCCCTGACTGAGCTGTTTTCCTCCATCACGACTGACCTGACTCCAAACCTTTCTGTGACTGACAGACATGTGTCTGTCACCCCCCACCCCCCTTCTCTTACCTTCCATCCCACCTCCATGCTGGCTCCTTGTTGACACCCTGCCTCAACAAACTGAGTCACAGTCTCTATCTACCCCTGTCTTTGCATCTGCTTCCACTCTCTGGCCCCCCACCCCGGATGCTGCTCAAGGACCAGAAGAAGAACTACAAAGCAGTGCAGTCCTGTGAGGAAGGGGGATCTGGGGGGGCCTATCTTGAGCCACTAGTAGCCCTGGCCCAGAACGGAGCCAACATGCACAACGTACTGGGGCCTGCATGCATCTTTCTACGCAAGGGCTTCGCTGAGAGCCGGCAGGCTGTACGTAAGTCCAGAAAATATCATGTGCATGCATGCCAAGAGAGATTAGCACACAATGCAGAACATGCACAATAACCAAAAGCCATCATGAATGTGTGTAGCAATCACCTTCTAATGTAACATCAGCACCTGACGCATGCAAAGACGAGTGGTGGAGCTGAGGAGACGGTCCTTTGAGAATGTGAAAACTCGGAGTGTTCTTGATGCCGGATGAGAGAACGTGTGTGTGTGTGTTTGTGTGTGTATTTATGCACGAGGCTGACCCAAAAACATGGTGGACATTTGAAACAAGATGGAGGATTATTAAGGCAGGTTATGGCTCTCACATTGTGATTATTTCCTTTTGTCTATTTGCAGGACTTGACAACATGACTTGTTATTAAAATAAAAAAAAAAAAAGCAGTGATGCTGAAATCCTCAGTGTAGACGACCGTCCTGGTGATGAGCTCTCAGATGGATACAGGGGTTGAGATTGGGTCACTCTAATTCAATGGCACATAAAGGGATAGTGTTTATTTATATCTTTGCACAATCAGAAACACAAGGAACTTAAATATAAAACTAGATATTAATTCATCAAACCTACGCTACACATACAGAGAACAAACACTGCATCTTCTAATTCTGCTGTTTCACTTTGATTTGAAGGTCTAGTTATGACATAGATGGCTAAGACTCTGCATGTTTCCTTCACTGAGTGATCTCACTGATGAGCACTTCCTCTCTAGCTGGAAGGAATCCCGAAGACTGCTGGCACTCTGTGGCACATATCTGTCTTTTCCAGTTTATTTTTTACAGCGCCATGTTGTGTGAGGGATACTGGGTGTTGGCATGACTTTAAAATATCAGCACTAACCTTGCGTTGTGATCCCTCACAGGACCGAGAGTTGAGGCCAGAAGAAATGGATGGTACGTTTTAGACAAAAACTGCACTTTCCAAAATATTCTGAAGTACATTACAGCTCTCTTAACATTCACGTTTTGTCTCCCTTGTTCTCAGAGTTGCGTGAAGCTTTCAAGGAGTTTGACAAAGACAAAGACGGGTTTATTGGCTGTAAAGACCTGGGCAACTGCATGAGGACGATGGGCTACATGCCGACAGAGATGGAGCTCATAGAACTGAGCCAGCAGATCAACATGAACTGTAACTAAATCTGTGTTTGTCTGTACACGTCTGTGAATTATTTCCCCCCCTTTTTTTTTTGCTTTCCTGTGACAAGCACTAACAATCAAACGGTGCAGAAACTTTGAGATCAACCCTCTTACAGACACTTCAGACAGCGGAGGAATAAGTGCACTTCTGCTGTCAGGCTGTACTCTTCTACTCATTACTCTTACTGAAAATAGTCAAATCTACCCCCAAAAAACTCTCTGCTTACATCATCAGTGGCCTCTCTCAGACAACTGATAGCTGTTAAAGTTGTGCCACTTTTAACAATCATTTTCCTGCCTTTTGTCGGTTATTTCAAACAACCGTTGTGTACAAAAACACGGGCCATCTTTTCTTTATACTATAAAGTAACCCACTTGTTGTGCTTATCTCCTGTCTCCAGTGGGATGGTAGCTGATGCATTATACCATATTTATTGCAGCAAATCTGAATTAAATAGCTGGCATCTTAAAACTAGTCTAGTCTTGCAGAAACACATGAGCCACTTATAAATGAATATCATAGTATAAAACAGCTAACATCAATTTGATCTACTTATTCAATTAAAAACAACAATAACAACAACAAAAAACTACTGTTTAAAACATGGTTTCAGCTTTAAATGACAAAAACTGCTGCTGTCAGTTGACATTTTTCTACTTTTATGGTAAAGTTTTTTGGATTTTGACAAACGGTAGCTGCCACTGGTTCTAGAATCGTCTCTCTGATTGGTCAAAATGTTTCCAGACACTTACTCTTCTGTCCGATTTCTTTCCCATTACAAAGGGAGTTCCCCAAGGTTCTGTCCTGGGACCATTTTCTTTTTGTTCTTCACTGTTTACGCAAACAGTATTACCTCAACATTGTGAAGTTCCACCTGACATCTTCTGTTCTAACTGCAGCTACAGCTATAATTAAACATCCTCCAAAAATACCTTATAAATTCGAAACTGGTTGTAAACTGTGGCTAAACAAAATGGATGTTTTTTTTCAAATGCAACAAAATATTGGCAATGGTGTTTTTCCTGTTGACATAATAGACTGAGCAACATTATCAGTATTTAGGCAGTTTAAAGTGCACATTGCCAGGGTGTTATGAAAAACTGGGACTGAAACTGAGTCTTCTCTGCAGGTGCCAATAAACTCACACATAGTGGGGACGATCTTGATCGAATTGTATCCTACATACTTGGGATATGCTTCAACAACATTTTAAATTGACCTAGTTAATACTTTTGACACAATTGCTGGTTTAATCGCCACTCTTAATTACTGTAGCTGTCATTGCTTTAATTTTTGGAAAGTGTACTTATGGTTATACTGACCTATTTATGTGTCTCACTGTCGATTCCTACACTGTTTAATTTCAGCTTTATTTTATCGAGCCTATTCTCTGTTACTGCTATTCAATTGGAGTTATGTCTTCATTTATTGTACAAGCTTTGACATTGATGGTTTCCCCCTTAAAGTGTTTTCCGAGTTTCTGAACCAGTCTCTAAGAAAGTACTGAGGTTAACTCCCTTCCTTCTTTTCAATCCGTCCAACAGTGGGAGGACACGTTGACTTTGAGGACTTTGTTGAACTCATGGGGCCCAAACTTCTGGCTGAAACAGCAGACATGATCGGAGTGAAGGAGCTGAGGGATGCGTTCAAGGAGGTGAGGAAAGGCAAAGCTTACACAACAGTATAGTGAGTGTGATAACGGCATTAGGACTCGTTTCACAATGAGTTAAACTGGAGAGAAAAATCTAGTTAAACTTTGATTACTTTACAGAATTCACTTAATAATATGTGTTGAGTTTTACCTTTAATAAACAAGTGATTATGGGAATGGCAGCCACATCATACCAAAAACAAAAGTATCTGACATCAGTGATGAAAGAGAAAAGACAGTTTCTCAATGTGATTCAATCCTATTTAATGCTTCTCTGCCCATTTTTCCTCACTTCCAGTTCGACACCAACGGCGACGGCCAGATCAGCACCGCAGAACTCAGAGAAGCCATGAAGAAACTTTTAGGACAACAGGTACAGAGGCGCTGCTGGGGGAGAGTTTGTCTTCCTCTCTTCGGCTCTCCATCAATCACTGTCTGCCTGAATTCTCTCAGTTCTCTGAGTTTGTGCCACCAAAGTTCACACTTTCCTCCCCAAACTGACGTTTTCAGGTTGGACACAGAGACCTGGAGGAGATCCTCCGAGACATTGACCTCAACGGAGACGGACACGTAGACTTTGAAGGTAAAAGAAATCCTGTGCGGCATGTGTGTGCAAATCGCAAAACATTTCACTGCAAGCAAAGACGTGAAACCAAACATGATTACGCATTCAGTTTTTCTGTTGGTGTCTCTTCTCACCCAATCCTTCTGTTTATCTCTCTAACATACATGCACACACACACACACAGGATGAGCAAAAAATCCCAACATGTGTCTGGCTTATATCCCGACGCCACGCTGATAGTGAGGTGCAGGGGATGAAGGCAGTAGGTCTGTCTGTCAGATTATCTCCGTTCCCAGGGATTATGTCACCTCATAGAAAACCCGCTGAGAAAAAAGATGCATGCAGGCTGCCGGGGATGAAAATATAAGCAAGCATTGCTGTTCTCAGAGGTGCAACTGCAGGGACACATTTTCACGTTTTTTCTGCATGCAAGTGGTTCAAGCAATATTTGTTAGAATGTATGTAGATTACAGTTATTATAGTCCTGAATATTGTGACTTTGTGATCAGATGTGTGGAAGAAACATCAAAGCATGGTAGCATTGTGAACAACCGAATAAAAGAGGGACTGAATATAAACACTGAACACTTATAGACTGAAGATGATGACAGCAAACGATGACATAGCTTTGCATCCAACATTGTTAACCTTGCATTTAATAAATTAATAGAATTGTTGTCCCTCATGTCAACAAACTGTACAGCGTTGACATAGTCCATCTAATATTTTGCAAACATATGTGTTCAGCATAGGCTGCATGGTGGCGCGATGGTTAGCATCGTTGCCTCGCAGCTAGAACGTCACCAGTTCGCTTCCCAGTGAGGACACCTGGGATCTTTCTCCCCGTGCAGCGTGGGTTCTCTCCGGGTTCTCNCTCTCAACAATCAGCCCTCTCGGTTTTTGTGACCTTCATTGACCTTGTTCTGCGAGCCCTCCTTTTGAAAATCCGGAAGCCTGCTAATGAAAGAGGAGCTGTTATGCTCTGCGAAAGAAATTATTATTATCAAGGAGAATTTTTTTTTTTTTTCAAATTAAATTTAGATGAAAGGGTTTGTGCATTAGCCAGAAGAGGGAGCAAGTAGCATTTGTATCAATGGGTTTGAACTCACAGTGAGCAGAGAGAGAGAGGAAGAGAGTGAGAGAGGAGGGGAAGGAGATTAACAGTCCACTGTTTGTCACATCAGCGAGCCGGGGAAAAGTGAAAGGGCAGAAAATGAAAAGGAAGCGAGGTAATCGGACAAATCAGCAGGACAAAAGAGCAAAATAGGAAGAGAGTGGCCTCCTCGTGTTAGAGACCTGATGATTGTTATATAAGGCAAACACTCATCAGCTTTCACTTCCCCGTTTCCACCTGACAGCTCCGAAGACAATGTGAGGAAAAAACTCCAAAAACACACACTGGCTCACTTCCCTGATAGTTTTCCTGTTACTTATCTGACATTTCCTATCTGCCGTTCCCTTTCTTCTTTTCTCTGCTCCTGCAAAAATCTCTCTTCCTCATCTTCCTCCCCCCTCTTCTTTTTTTTTTCTGCCTCCTGGGGCACAGCGACCTTGATGATGTTTAATAAGAGCGAATGAAGAGAGAGAAGAGTTCTGCACAAATGAGTGAATTAAGGAGAAACATTTAGGTGGAAAATGGAGGAAAATGAGTAGCGGCGTCGCCACAGCGTATGCCTCCAGTCTGTCTAGAGTATAAAAGGCTATTTTTAGACACACACGGGGTATTTTTATATCTGTGCCGGCACAAGAAGGAGGTAGAAAGCTCACTCTTTGGTTAAACCCCCTCTTTTGAGTTGAGGATTAGCGCACACCAACTGCACGTGCTTCAAAGTGAATCGTATGTGTGTGGCGATGCTAAATATTTATGGAGACCTGGAGGCTGAAAGAGGAAAAAAATCAGTGTGAGACACTTTGAGAGCCGAGAAAGGAGGCAGAGGATAAATGAGTCAGAGGAGAAAACAGCAGAGGGTTTAATTGACACGCAGCGGGATGTTTAACTGGAGTAGCAGCTGATTGTGCCGTCGGAAACTAATACTTTAATACCTCGATATGCCGCGTGAAAATGTTCACGCTTTTGGCTAATCTGATCCCAACAAATGAATCAGCTGTAGGACAACAGTGTGACGTCTCAGCTCCAGCACAAGAAGATGACGCAAGTGTGCATTGTATGTTTTTCACTGCCTGATGACGAAAATGTGCGCACATGAAAAAAAAAAAAAAACAACTCATGGTCACAGTGTTTATCTCTGTCTCCTCATCAGGATGTTCTGGGAACTTTAAGAGGAAGGATCTGTAATAAATGCATAAGAAGAAACATATAAAATCTTGTTTTTCAGAGGCAAAAATAGCACTTGGCATCTTGATTTAAAAAAAAAAAAAGGGGAGGGTTGGTGAACACATGAGAGCGTGTTATTACATCAGTGCCCTCCTTCCTACATTATATCTCAGCTCATTTAACACAGTTGATGGCAGTGGATGAAACAGGATTATATTTGACCTCGAAATCTTCAATAAATAGCAAAGGCAATTATTAATATTTGCTCCTTGAATTAGATTTCAGTCTAGTGCGTGCGCGTAGATTTCTTTGAGCTGCAGTGACGAAATTGCAAAAATGAAGACTATAGTGTTGGGTTCTTGCACAACCTGCGACAAACGGTACCCCCCCCCCCAAAAAAAAGAAATCATCTGATGTTAGCGAGATGTCCTCAGCATGCAGCGTGTGTGAGCGGTTATGTAAAAAATTTGCAAAGTAAATCCTGTGTTTCTGAGTGAGTAATTGTGTGAGCGAGAGGGGAAAAGGATACAGCAGTGGAGGGAGATGGATCTCATGCCCGTGCACACTAACGGTCTGACATTATGAGAGCTGACGGCTCCTGCGTCTGACGTCTGATGTGTTCTGAAGTTCACAATGAGCCTCCGGTGAGAGGCTGGATGAATCATCCGCAGAACAACACAGAGGAGTCGCGCAGATATTGAATGGGAGCGAGATCTGAGACAACTTCGGCGTGAATGTGTTTGTTTAAATCGCGGCGAACAGACAAGGTCGAACGGGAGAGGATGTGCATCTGTGCCGCAGTGACGACGGCCACCTTGAGAGGGAAGGCTGCTGGTAGAAACATAACAGGAGGGTTTTTACTGTGTTTGGTGGTTTGATGTTTTTTTGTTGTGACAGCAGTAAAAGATCCTTAAAGCCTCCCTCTAATTAAAAATGTTGTTTTGATCACTGGATACACTGAACTTGGATGTTTGACCTTCACTGGGCAGATTGGTGCACGTGCAGTTTGACAGTTCAGTCTGTTCTGACATTCGTCTGCTGAAGGGGAAACGTTTCCGTATGCTCACTTTGAATTTAAATTTAACATGTCTACGTACAAGATCCAGTACACATCCTACACAAAGGTGATGCAGAAACTTGAAACACAAAACACAGAGCGTCCGAGTCTCTCAATGTTGGAGATGTCTTGACAAAAAGAA